TCTATCTATCTCTCTGCTTTCTCNCGGGTTGTCCTGGTCAGGGCCATGAGCGGAAAAGGTGTGTACGATGGGTGGAGTACGTTTATTTAGTCGCACGAGCGCGCCGTAGCTTAGGCGCCTCCGTTCGACGGGTCGGTACAGTCGGTCCGTCCCGTCCATGCGTCAGGGCCCGGTGTTTCGAGCGGGGGCCGCTCCGAAGGAGACCAGGGGCCGAGCCATGGATTCCCCGGAGGTTGGGCAGCTGGCTGTAACTCCAACAGATGTCTATAATATAGACGCCGGGGAGCGTGTGCCAGCAGGAAAAAATCAAAGGCCAGCAGGGGCGCGGCAGGACGGCCTCCCTGGGTCGGGCCGCGGTGTTGAACGTCGGTGGCAAATATAGGCTACGCTGAACGATCTCGGTGACCGGGCTCTCTTCCGCGGGCGGAGCTTGCTTGCACCGCATACAGGTAATGGGCGCCCATTAGTCCACTCAGCGTGCCATCATGTATATTTGTGAATATTGCGCGCCGTTCGCCTGCCGGAAAGGTTGCTTTGCCGAGAAGTTGGCGTTGATGAAGATTAGATAGATAGATAGAGGAGAGACACGCGAGCAGAGGAGAGACGAGAGCGAGAAGAGCGAGGAGGCAGACCGACAGTGAAGAGATGCAGCAAGAGAGAGACGAAGAGAACGAGAGAGAGCAGAGGCACACGGGACAGAGCGGAAAGACCACGGAGAGAAGAGGACAGGTCGAGAGAAGAGAGGAGAGAGAGAGTAGAGACAGAGGAGAGACGAGGTCAGACGAGCAGAGAGAGAGACGAGAGAGAGAGAGACAGGGAGAAAGAGAGGTGCTTCTTACGAGCCGTGTTTACAAGCGTCGGAGGATGGTTGGCCGTGGCGGCAATGTTGACGATGGTGAGGAGTGTTCAGGCGAGATAGACGTGCCACTGCGTGCGTTTTGAAGGCCGCGGCACTCGCCTGACAGTTTATACAGCGTCCTATGTTCTCGACGACACATTTCACAAACCCAGGGCGATTAGACGTACTTAATACAACTAGTCCATTGCCCGTTAGGTGTCAAAGACACAGCGGCCGGTCACGACCCATGGATGGCGGGTCCGCGGACAAACACGATAAGCACACACACATGGGGGTGGCGCTACACAGCACACACACACACACACAGCGACACATCAGCAGCGCCGCCGCCTAGTGGCCGGACGTCCCCACCACATCACACGACGGCGGCGGCTGGGCGGTCCCGCACATGTTTTTTTTGTGTTCGCAGCGCACACAAACGCTGCGCGCGAGCGCCATCTTACACACAAAACCCGTCGCCGTTGCACTCACACACCAGTCTCACACACCTACACACAACACACACACCACTCGCCGCGCGCCGCCTGGCCCACGCACAACCACACATGCACTGCCAGATACGCACCGCATCACGACGCGCAGCGCACACACGGACGCGGGGGTCATAACACACCACGCGTGTGCTGGCATACACACACTAACTAAAAAAATAAGATAGCTTGTAAGAGTATTATTAGAGGTCAGTCTGAACGTTGTACGTTTTACGTTTACGGTTGAAAATCTTACCTGCGACATCAGGAGTTTCTTGACAGCGGGCGACATTCTTGCGAGCGGTATCTTGTCTATGCTTATAATATCTCGACGTGTCAGTGATGACTTTCTTTTTGGTGGCATTAGCTGGGCACTTGTTATAACCAATTTTTAACCAATGTAAGAAACAATGTAAAAACAATGTATAACATTTCTCTGGTCACATTAGATGGAGCAACTTAGAAGATCTTAGATGGAGCGCCTTTGGTTATACATTGTTTTTCACATTGCCATTGTGTTTTCGTGTTGTGACGTTGCACCGCGCTCGGTGAAAAAAATCTCCTACTTTTTGAATGTTTTTGAACGTGGAATGTGAAAAAAATAAAACTGTGAAAAAAAATTAGCCCATGCAACGTGTCATGATCTGTAGAATGTTCCGACCAAGTTTGGAGAGGATCCGTTGAGCGGTGCGGAAACGTATAGCCGGAAACACATACACACACACACAGAAAATCTCCAATTTATAGTAAGATATATTATTATATCTAATTATGCAATTAGATAAATAGTATTAGAGAGATGCCACTCATTCATCGGCGTAAACGGCGTCTGTATAGGTAATATCAAGAGCTAATAATATTTATTATATATTTATTATAACTTATTAGTATTATTAGCTATTGGTAATATCAGGAGTAAATAATCACAGATTATGAATCAAATTATGTAATTAATAATTTTGTGTGTGATTACTGACTCCCGGTAGTAATCGTAGCCGAAAGCAAAAAAACAAACGAAATAAAACTGCGACCCGGAAAAAATATAAGCCCTCGGATCGTATCGGATTGCGTTTCTGGTGCGCGGGTGTGAAATCTAGCTGCACGAGCCCTTGTTATATACACGGAAGCTACCGACAGCAGCTGGTACTGCGGATCAGCTTTCCCCTGCTTC